GAGCGGAGCGGAGCGGAGCGGAGCGGAGCGGGGGCGCGGCTCAGCCGGGCTGCGTCTGTGCGCGCCGGCTGTCGAGCGCTTCCCGGTTCTCCTTGGTTCGGTCCATTTTCTGCAGCCTGGAGTAGCCGGGCCGGATTGTGGACATCAGTGCTTGGCTGGGCGTAACGAGAACCCAGGTTTTGGGTTTAGGCGGGACACATTGCGCTTGCGGTTTGTGAGCAACTCGCTGTGCCCCTCATCTGTCGCCTTTCCCTCACAGTTTACATATTCCTGAAGAGTGCCTTGACCTGAAACGCTCCTCAGATTAGGCACTTGAATTTCTTCAAAGGAAAGATTCAGAGAGGGAGGGCGTCCTCTGTGCTTCTTGGAGAAGCTCCGTAAGCTTTGTTAGTTAATAATAAATAACAATATCCGTAGTTTGCTCCGAGCGCTTCCTCTTAGGAGCCCAAATGATTTTGCCGCATTGGTACGTGAACAGCTGTGAGTGTTTATAGAGCAGTGGTATTAGGCAGTTGTTATGAAATCTACATATATAAATACAAAACCACAGCAAAAAAACCCCCGTTGTCAACGATATTTTTTTCATGGTCCAAATACACTTCTGGTTCTGTTTGTGCCCCCTGAGTAGTAAAAGCTAGTGGGTTAAACTTGGGAGAGTGAATAGACGGAAGAGCTAGAAATCAATCGCAATTGAAGTGAAGCCATGAACATCTGTAATGGATCGTGAAATGCCATGTCTGTATTTCTCACAGTAAATCACTGAGTGATGAAGAAAACCTGAAGCTGTTTGGGAAATGCAACAATCCAAATGGCCATGGACACAACTATAAAGGTAAGGAATTGACTTCCGTGACTTCCATGTAGTGATGGACAGAGGCTGCTCTCAAGCAGGCTGGTTTGAATGCAGAGTAACCCGTGGGAGAGCTGGGCCAGTCATGTGTCTCAGCAGTCTGGTATGGCTTTTAGTGTCCGTTTTGGGGTTTTTTGTAGAATTAGAAGGAATCGTCAGCAGCAAGGGGGTTGAACCATGGCATGGATTTGCAAGCTGTTAAGTAGATAATAAATATTTATCTCAAAATGTCGCTTTGTGAATCAAATCTAGTTGTTTATAATTGCAAAATCATTGTGTTTTGAATGAAGATTTTTCTAAGCAAAAGACATGCAATTTGAACAGCCTGTAAACTTTATTTGAATGTTGGTTTCACAAGTTCTTCTCCTACCATCTATACTCTGCACATAGAATCAGATCTCTCCAGTTATTAGGCTGGGTCACTGTTTAGCATTGTGTATTGTAGGTACCCTGAAACCTCTGCTAGAGAGCTAGTAGCATTACTGGGGAAGACAGGTTGACAGATTGCTGGACCGAAGATCTGTCCCTCATTTTAAAGCTGACTTACAGGAACAACAGTTCTTGCTTTCTTGTATAAGAAGGACATTCTCACTGTAAAAAAAAAAAAAAATTGCTGGAAGGCTAGGAGGATGCCTCTAAAACTGTTCCTTGGGGAGGCGGGGAAGAGAGAGAGAGAGAAAAAGAGCACAAAAGGGCTTTTCCACCCCAGAGGAGAATCACAACCAGGCTCAAATCACTGTCTTTCTATTTTTGTGAGTTCCCCAGTGAGCTGTGATTCTGTTCTCAGCTCCTGGGGTTAGTGGGAAGGAATGCTGAGCTTATAAGGATGATGTTTCCAAGTGTTTGTGTCCTTTGTTGAAAGGACTTCTGGGTTGAAATGACACCTTGTCGTATTTCTGGTTCCTAGACAGTTGGTGGCCACTTCATCACTTACTTTCCTTCTCTGGTATTCCATTATGTCAGAAGATTTATATGGTGACCCACATCTCATGGTCTCGGGTGTCTGGTTGATTGTGTGGGCACCTAGGGTGTCTGCATTGTCCAGAAGACTTTGCCAATAAAGAGACTCTGACCTTGAGTGTGCGGGGCACAGGCTGTCATAGGGAGTAGGTACTTCAGAAGTAATTTAGTCTTACCTCTGCCTGCGAGGGTCATTTCAGGGATAGTGGTGTGTCTCTGGGCATCAGGCCTTGGAGAATGACTTCTTTGGTGAGCTGAGTGACTCTGAGTCATTATTCTTTATGGAGTGGATACCCATTTTATAAAAACAGTCCCACTTTTAAGTGCTGGGAAGCCTGCCCCAGTCCTCAGTCCTTGTGGATTAGCGATGAATGCGTTGTCTGTCCCAGTGAATAGTCTACTTTGTTGTTAGGTTCATGGTGTCATCGTGACCCGATATTTTCTTTTTTGCAGTTATAGTCACTGTGCGTGGAGAGGTAAGTGTGATCGACTTCTTTTTTTTTCCATTCCTTAGGATGGCAGGGTTCCCCGTCTTCCACAGTACTGAAGTTCTGGCTCAACTGCTAGGTTTCCCAGGGCATTTGTGGAAACTCTATACGCATCGCTATAGAAGAAGATTTTCTGTAATTGCTGTCCTATTTGCCTTGCCTCTAACAAGGATTTGCAGGTGACCATATTTAAGTCTAAGGTTTGTAATCATCCTTTGGGCACATAACTTAGTCTGCCAGAGCCTCACTGCAGAATGTATAGGCTCTGGCCAGATTTGTGGGACACCTTTGGATGCCTACTGAGCCACAGGGAGGCTTGGCACTTCCAGTAACTGATTCTATTTGCTGTTTTATCAAGGTATTTTGCTGCAAATGTAAAAGGAAATTCTACTTTTACAGTTGTTTTTTACCCTTCATCCTGTCGTTGTTCTGTGTATGCTGCAGAGCGAGCTGTTTAGATAGCACTTTGGTTTTGACATTTTCCAAACAACTTTTTGAGGATTTCCAGTTCATAGGAAAGGGTGTTTCTATTCAGATCTGAAACTAAAATTTTAAAACCTCTTCCTTCTGTGTTCCCCAAATACGCTGTGAACTACGAAACCTGATATTGTTTCTGGAGCTGTTCGTTCTCCAGATGGGAGGATGCCCTGCACTCAGGCTGGCCTCTTGTTTTGTGCCTGGTTGTTCAGCCCAGCAGTTTAATGCCTGTTTTCCTGCTTATGGTCACGCTAGATTGTTGCTTGAAGACTGAGTGTTTCAGTGAATTTTTCCTCCCTGGTGTCAGCTTTTATGAGAGAGTTGGAACCGCTGGAGTTGTTTGTATGCTGTATCTAGCCTTTGGGAACATCACGAGAGCGGTAGAGTTGGAATTCAGAGTGTGAAGGTAGAAAGATATTTTCCTTCTGGCTCAGATGTCCTGAGCGCACAGATATTCACAGTCTGATTAGTACAGGCTCATGGCAGCCTTGGTAATGAGGACATGTAGCTAGGCTACTAATCTCCCGTTTGTTTTCCCTGCAGATTGACCCAGTCTCAGGAATGGTTATAAACCTGACAGACCTGAAAGAATATATGCAGGTAATAGCACTATTTTCCTACTCTTCCCCTGGGAGAATTGGTCGGAGCTTAGCAATTTGTCTAGTACCAGGGTGGAGAAATGGTGAGTTGATGATGGTACAAAATAAAGAAGAAATTAAGGAATGATTTAAGACTAAAATACTTTAGGACTGTGATGTGAGGCAGTACCATGTCTCCAGCTAGGAAGTTAACAGGTGGATGTATGGCTCTTATTCTTTTTTTACATACTGCTGCCTTGCTCCAGTCCCATGTGCATGGTAATTTGAACCTCAAGTCCACTAACCAGTCGGGACAAGATTGTCACTGTTTTGTTTCTGCAGGAGGCGATCATGGAACCACTTGACCACAAAAATCTGGATAAGGATGTGCCGTACTTTGCTGAGGTTGTGAGGTGGGTGATGGGGACTACTCGTGGCTTTGGTTGCAGGGTCAAGGAACAGTCTTCAAGGCTTAGTCCTACACCTGAAAGAGCAGCCTCGATACCTGTGTATGTAACATACCTGTGACGCACCCCTGTGCGTGTCAGGTGCTGGGTGCCCTGCCTGCCTTCCAGTCCTGCTGCCATGCCGCCTGCCTCGCTGTCCCGGGCTGGGTGCAGGCCTACTGGGGCAGCTGCCATCCCATGTACCAAGGGAGGCCCCACTTGCTCACACCTGAGGAGCCTTTTACAGACTAGCATTTGTCACATGAGCCTGCTCTGTGGACAGCTTGGGGTGACAGATATGACCTGTTAATTAGACCTCGTTTTGTCCATGTTCGCTGGCAGTGGTTCAAGCCCCACTTACATTCAGGGTGTTCTCATGTGAAAGTTGCCTGCATGGCTCCCTGTGGCCTTTAGCATCCCCCCTGGCCCATTCGGGGTACAGCTTCCTCGGATATTGTTGCTGTCAGTTCTGAATCTGCTCCTGTTTCACTCTTAGCACCACAGAGAATGTTGCAGTATTCATCTGGGAAAACCTCAAGAAGCTCCTGCCCATGGGAACTCTTTATAAAGTCAAAGTGTATGAAACGGACCAGAACATTGTTGTTTATAAAGGAGAAGAAACAATCTCTGAGAAGTGAGATGAGCTTAAGCTCAATTGGTCAGAAACCCTGCTGCGTAGTCAGATCAGTGGATTCCTTCAACCCTGCTCACTGTATTTCCTATACCTAGACATTGGTAATGTATTACAAAAGGACAAATACAGATGTTTCACAAGAATTCTTGCAGCAATCTAGCAATTCAGGTTCTCAGAATTTGTTGATTTATCTGCTTTTTCTCAAGACATTCCTGTTTTGCAAACCAAAACCACTAAGCCGATGTGAAATGTACAACTATGTTATGTTAAATAAAGCAGCTTTCTAGAGAGGAGATGGGCTGGCAAAATGTATGTCCTGTCCAGTCACGAAAGGCTTTGATTTTTCTCTAATTAAAGATTGGATTCATTTATGATTTTTAATAACTCGGGCTTCGGGTTTGTTTTGCTTCTTGATCACATAGAGAAACATTCTTGAGAATGAAAACTACACAATTCTCTTTTTTATTCTTTTTTTTTTTTTTTTTTTTTCTCCCTGTGCTACAGGCTCATTTCTTCCTGTGGCTAGCAGGCCTTTTGTCTGTATAAGGAACTGGTACAGTGAGCCATATAGTTGTTTACAAAGCAATCCCCAATCCAAACTGCAGAGCTAAAGAGAAGAGTATGTTGTTGAGAATCAGCACGGGAAGCTGAGGAAACTGCGAAGCTGGAACATTGCAGACCCAGTGGTGTCAGAGTGCCCTGATGCGTGGGTGAAAGTGGAAGTAGGTGAGAATAAGCTTAGATACTGGTTATCCAGCTCAAAGATCAGTCTCAAAGATGCCACTCTTGTGAAGTTTTGCTAAGAGAATGCTTTTCATGTTAGAAAATTCTGGCTGACTTTCTCATTGTAATGCAGGTGCTTGCCTCTTTGATACCCTGTGGTATCCCTATGTCAGCTCAGGGCAAGTACAGGCATATAGACATAATCCTCACCTTGCTGAGGAGTCGACCCTCCTACAGGAGACTTTCCATTCTGCATCTGATCATGGACAGCTGAAATAGTAGGGGGGGACCTGTGATACCTTGAGTCCATATCCACTGAAGCTCCCTGAAAGCTTGTTGGCACAAGCAGACAGATCAAGCATGTTTTTCTTAGGGAAGTTTTTATGAGTTCTGTAGAAACAGAATCAAACTTTCATCTTTCTGGAGAAAGCAGTCAGGTTATATTCCGGCTGCCATTATCAACAGTTGCTTGGTATTTTCATCATCGGAATCCCGTGGTGGGAAGGCCTTGTAGACAAAAAAAGCACTTGGTATGCATCAGTCATCAGGGCTGCAGGTTCCTGCTGTCACTTGCAGATCAGGAGATGCAACGCTGTTCAGCGTAGGTTTGTTACAAAAGGATGAGGCTGTGAGATGAGTTTAAATGAACATTAACCAAATTATTCTGAAGAATCCTGAAATTGTAGGCATACTGTGAAAGCAAACTGCTGGAAAAAGGAATGCATGTAAAACCAGTTAGGGAACAGTTACTGTACAGTTCCTGTGGTTAAGAGCCGTAAAATCAACCTGTCTGTCCAGAGGCAGAAGTGGTGATACTGTGCGTGATTCTCTTTATCACATTAGCAAGGTCCTGAAGAGTAGTTAGGTATGGCCATGAAGAATAACGTAATGCATATAATTAAAAAAGTGATATCCAGGGTAGTAATTCCCTTGCTTTACAAGGAAATTATGCATCTGAATAGTGGTAGCAAACAGCAGCATTTAAAAAGGTTTAATGAAGCTTGCCTAATGGTTAACCTTGGCCACACTCTACTACAGGCTGAGGGTAAGGTATCCTTCTGTAGCTACCAGTTCTGCTGGAAAGTAGTTTTTACAGTTCCAAAAAATACCTTCACTGATTTCTTTTGAACTGTGACTGCTTTATATGATGACAATTTGGTGCTGTTTCCTGCCTTGATCCATCTTTGCTCAAATTTTCTGGATGAGCTTCTAAAAGGGAATAGTAAGAAACGGCTGGACATGAGGGATATTCCAGCCTTTCCTCTTTGGCACAGCAAAACCTCTACCGTAGGAGCTCCAGTGTTGGTTTGGATTTTTTTCCCGTCTTAAAGGTAGTGCTTTGGTGAATAGTAGTCTGAGGGTTCATTCTTGTGTCACGCAAGTAGAGTGCTCAGTGCATCAGATGAAGGGAACACACTGTTGACACACCGTTGCCCCTTCTCCCCCTTTTTCACCCCCTAGATGTGGAACCAGTCAGCTTTTTTCAGCGCGGGCTCTAGCCAGGGAGGTTTTGCAGCTTATGTGAATGCTCCTGCTGGTCTGTAGTTCACTAGTGTGATGTGTCATTCCAGTTTGCCACAATGATGTAAATCATACTGGATGATAGCTGATGGTGATGATTCACAAAGCGTTTGGTTTCTTCAG